CTTTTTTTAAAGAGTTCTTTGGTCAGTTTCCATGCTCAAAAAATGTGCACACTGTATTAATATTTTAATGTTTTGATGTTTTAAATTTGAAAACTGTCCATCTCACTTCTCCCACCTATTGTGTCTCGGTTACTGCCTATCATTAGTGATGTTGATAGCTCCGCACTACTGTGATTCAGCCAAAAAAATTTATAGCTTCTTCTCTCTTCGGGGCTGCTTGGCCAGTCATAAACATCCCTTGCAGCATGGCCAGAACCTTTATGGTGAATGCATTGTTTGAAGGGATGGTAGTTGAATATGTGCTAATCCCTCCTCCTAAGAAAACTTTCAGACACATCCCTCTTTATCCCCTCCAATGAAATCCCCAAATCTGTTACTTTCCCAGTGTTCTTGGGATGAGAAGTTAGCCTTACTGGCACCAGTTAAATGCTGTCATGGATGGGGGTTTTCAATTGAACCTAAGGGAATTAGGCACCCGCCACCTTCCGTTGACTTCCTGAAAGTGAATGAAAGGCATCTAAAACCTTTAACAGCTTTTGAAAGTCCTGCTCTTTATATTTCAAACCTGCCATGCTTTTCTTGATAAGCAATGTAATGTCAGTCTCAGTTTCTTCAAATACCATTCCCTTCCTGCTAAGGGCCAATGAGACTGGGAGGGAGTTACTCCAGTAATCTCTGCAATGCATTGGTAAACCATCTTTTGATCTAGTTAATCTCCAAGTCTATATATTTCATTTCAATCCTTGAACTGATGATGAAACACAAGTAAAATGTTAGGGTGGTAAAACTCAGCAGTGTTGGTTCGTGTGGGTTTGAACAACATTTTGTGTTTATACTTTCAGTTAATGTGCGTTTATGTCCCTTGAGGTTTCATTTTTCTTTCAGGTTCATTTTTGAATCTGAAAACTTTCGCTATGTTGGCTTGGTTTTCAGTGGGAACCATAGAAGAATGTGCAGTTAACAATGATTTTGACCGATAACCTCCCTGAGGGGAGGGAAATGGGGCTTGTCTGAAACTCTACGCAGGGACACATTCTGTTATAAAAGTTGTGCACGATATTAGCAATCAGTCGGTGGCGGTATCTGTCTGCAGAAGCCTAGGTAAATGAATTTGTCCGAGCTCACTGGTATTTAGGAGTTTAGTCTGTCAGTGAAATCATTTTTCTGTAAATATTTTCTAAATAAAAAGTTCAACAGTCTGTTTATCCACATAGTACAATGAGTATATGGGTCTCCATAATATTAGCAAGGGAACATTTATTGGGGGGAAAAACAATTGAGAAGCAAGTGATTTCAGATTACTTGGCACTGAGGTGAGCTGGGTATTGGCTCCTGAGCTTCCTTGTTATGCACAAAATCCAGAGCATGTTTTTGCTTCTTCAGCAAAATCATTATACACACTGACCTTCTAGAGCTAAGCCATAGGGCTCCGTCTTCGAGACATTCTACTCTGGATTTACACCAGCACAATTCAACCACACAGAGCTTTGCATGGTATATTTTGGGCAGTTTCCCCCGACTAAGGTACCCTATGGATAGGGTGACTATATTTCCTGAAGGGAAAATGGGACAGTGCTTGGGGCTAGCCCGAGTCCTCCCCCATTCCCCACATGGGGCTGGCATGGCCACTTCCCTGAGCCCTGCCTGCCCCCACACATGAGGCTGGGGCTGGCATCGCTGCTCACCCAAGCCCTGCCTGCCCTCCACACGGGACTGGGGTCACTGCTCGCGCGAGCCCTGTCTGCCTCCTGTGCAAGCCCTGCCTTCTGCCCCACGCAGGGCTGGCATCGCTGCTCATCTCCCTGCGCGTTCCTCTGCACCCCACGTTTTTGACAAAAGTGGGCATTTGTCCCATATGCTTTTGTCAGCTGATCAAGTTGGCAAGAGCAAAGGGGACAAATGCCCACTTTTGCCAAAAAAGTTGGGACGGCCAAGACAGGGCTTAAAAAAGGGACTGTCCTGGCCAAAACGGGATATATGGTCACCCTACCTATTAATTAAATTTGTGTTCTGCAATGTATTAAATTATTTGAATTTGATTGGAATTCAGAAAAGTCTTTTATTATTATTATTATTTATTATTTTATTTGTAGGTAAACATTAAAAAGATGATCTGCTTCCAACTCCCTATATATTTTAAAAGACACATTTCTTTGCATTTGTTGCTTACCACCCCTTAAATTACTAAAAGTGAATATTTTAACAGTTTAGGCTCCACTCCTGCAGTTGATACCACAAGGTGTATGCAGTCTGCCTTCATCCTGTCAATTATAGGATTGAGGCCTGAAATGTCACTGTATGTGCTGTCCGTTCACTTCTATTAATCTGATTTAGCTTGAACAACATATTTAGAAACTATTTCCTTTTGGTCTCCAGTTACTTTGATTTTGCTGGTTATCACGCGCTGTTGAATTGCAGACACTGCATAGGGGAGACTGGTGAAGCAGAGAGGCCCCACGTCAGCAGAGAAGGGGCTAATCAGATCCTTTGGATCCAGCTAGCCCTGCCTGCCATACCTAAAGGGGGAATAAAAGGAAAGAACCTGGCCCAGTCCAGGGCTGACTGGCCAGGTAGAAGGCTTGAGCTCTGTCTCTTTGCACAAATGGACTTTTGCTGGTGGAGAGTTAGCTGGAGCAGCCCCTGCGGAGTAGCAGTTCTCTCCCAGGAGAGAGCAACGCTCTACTAAGAGACTGCTTAGGAACCAAGCCCAAAGGAAAGGGCAGGGAACACCCCAGGGGAAGATTGGGGGTGGTCCAGTACTGAGTTGATTTTCCTATTTTACATCAAAATGTTTCAAGGCTGAGCCCCTCCAGTAGCCCCCGAAGGGGTTAAGACTGACAGAACAATTAGCTGGTGGGCCGGAACCCACTTCCGTGGACACTGGAGACAGAGACTTCCTCCTCTTGGGGAGATCCACAGCCATGACAGGCAGCTGGGAAGGTCCACTAGGGGGCACTCCTGCAGCTATACCACTACGAACATTTTACTCACAAACAAGACTCTCTTCCCCCTGCACTCTTTTAGACTTTTTTTTAACGTTTTGTAAAACTTTTCTTAATAAGCCCTAAATCTGTGGCTTAAGACTCTTTAAACTCTTTTAAAAAAAAAAAGTCCTAAAACCCACAGAAACACAATGTTATTTTATGTCAGCAGCATTGCAGTTAAGTCTATTACTTTCTTATGTTTCTTGATTTTTGGCCATAAGGAACTGATTACATTCTATACATATAGCGTCACATTATGCTAAAATGCATTCTCAATTATGTTGGCCACTAGTAGTGGTTGTTCTGGTGTTTTATTTTTGGCTGTCATAAATTAGTTGCATGTATGAAGTATTAGAATCTGTGGTACAGTATTTAGGTCTGTTAGATGATGGATCATTCTGTCTGTAGAAGAAGGAGTGTGCTAGTCAAATACTCTATAAAGACTCAGTTACAGAGGATATTAAAATCACATGCTGAGTAGGAAGTTTCTACAGTCTGAAGGATAGATTTACCATATACTATAATTTAACATTTACTGTAACAGATATTAACAAACACTTTATGTATTAAGGTACAGACCATGGAAACTTACCAATAAATGAGGATTATGATTTACACAGCGTTTCCTACTTATATATTTATGCTTCAGTTGTCCGGTACCATAAACCTTCATAAAAATTACACTGTATATTTTATCTGAAGTCTGTAATTTGTTAAATGAGTTGTTATAATTAATGTCTTGTTCCTGGAAGAACCTACATCTCTGTAGAGTGTGTGTTAAATACTGCAGTGTCTCTTTACTAGACGTGGATGCTACTGTATTTAGATTGGAGGAAACTTGAGGAGAAAATATAGAAAGTTGACACAATAAGAAATGTATGAATGCACCTACCATTGTATAATAACACCATGCCAATAAAGTCCACGTATATACAGTATCGCATGACATTGCTGTACTAGATACAACCCTGAAATTTAACAGCTCTGTACTTGGAATCTGTATGACTTGTACACTCGTTTGTATATCCAGATGGGCAGCTAACTACATGTTTAACCATATATCTAGCTGCAAACATCCCTTTGGAAAACAAGGAGATTAGAAAATGAGAAATGTCCTTGGCCAGCTGTGTTTTGTGTCCCTTTTCTGATGTTGCATATCTGGATCATTAAATAAGATCTTTTCTGTGTAGAGTCCAACTTCTATTTTAACTTCACCCTAAACAGGTGCAAAACCTTGAGCGGGGTTGGGAAATCGCCTCCTCCCATAGAAAAAACAATGGAAGGGGGATATAGAGAGGGGAAATCCTCATAGAAGTGGTTCACCCAAATCCCTCCATCAAGAGAGGGCAGGGCTTGGTGTTTGTCCTCACACACTGCTGAACTGCCCCAGGTCACAGGTTGGGCTCCTAATCCTGCAGATTCCCCTGAGGTCTTCACAGACAGGGAGACACAAAGCCATAGACACAAACGGAGACAGTCACAGGGTTCCTCCTGCTTCTCCCCATTGCTTTTCTCAAGAAAGGGTCCTCAACCCAGAGGGGGCACTATGCCAAAGCGCATCTATATCTTGCCATCAGATTGCTTAAAGCAGAGTAATGTTCCTCATTACTTCTGTGGGGAACTCTGCCTGCTGGCCTGCAGTGGCGCCTGGCAATATGTCCCTGACTCCACTGTAGGACTGTATGAGAGGAGGGGATGGGTGGGTGGGAGCAAAGCCCTTGCTAAGTAGCAAATGTATACAAAAAGTCAAAAACAGTTGAAAGGTGAAGAGATTTGTATTTGATTCACACTTGTATCAGTTTCCCCTCCAATAGGAAAAGTTCCTCTTGTGATAGCCTGCACTTTAAACGTTGGTGAGTTCTTGCACCTCCCATTGGCTGCCAAGGATGCAGAAGGGACTAAGCCCTCCGGGTGGGTCAGGCTCTGAGTTTACATGTTGCAGTGTGTTGTCAGGCTACTGAGAGTAGAACTGTGACTGACTTTTTTCTTGTTGTCTCGCTTATTCACTCCGCACAGGGGCAGTCAGGACGAGATGGCTACCCGGTAACTCTGCCATGCCATTTATATTTTACTCTCTTCTAAGCTACGCCTCGCATTTTACTCTTTTTCCATCAGCCATCGCTCTCTTTGCCTGTCTAAGATTTTTTTCTTCCTTTTCTCTCCCTTTAGTGGATATGGTATTTAAGGGATTTAATCTTACAGCTCTAGAGCAGATTGTGCATTGTATACTAATGATTATTGGCTAAATCCTGACTCCCTCCATATTTGTAGGGAGGCCTTACTCAAGCAAACCGCTGAGAGATTGCCGGAGTATAAACTGAGTGAGGACCTTGGGATTTGTCTCCATGTTAATGCTCAGCAGTAGAGGGGCCTCGTTTGGGTGTTGACTTGCTGAAGGAAATGCACAGATAGCTGAAAATGAGCCTTGATGTATCCATATCTAAAAATATCCCAATTGTTTCTTTTCTGAAGTGTGTTACAGAATGGGGCACCCTACCACCTCCAACTGTGATCTCACAGCTAAGCAATGCTGACCTCAGTCCCTTGGTGTCAGAGCCGTCCCTTGGGTACAGCAAATCGGGGCGACCGCTCCGGGGCCCGCACTTTGTGGGGCCCCACGGGCCAGTGCAGTTGGCTGGTGCAGTCAGTCCCGGAAGTGACGGTTTGGTCCCGGAAGTGACGGATTTGTAACGTCCACCCCAGGCCCCCTGCCCCACTAGGGACAGCCCTGCTGAGGGTTAGACAACTCTGGGAAGACCCAGGAGTGGTATGAAGCAGTATAGGTAATTCAGTATGTGGTGCTGTTCCCATTTGCACTGGTTCTAAAGGATGCTGCTCAGCCAGAGGGTGTCTTCTTTCTGAGGAGAGAATAAACCAAGGTCCTGGCTATTTTTTTTGTTATGATTTTGTGACACTTATTGCAAGAGTAGGAGTATTAACCTGATTCTGGCCAAATCCCAAATTGTGGATTTACACGTGCCCCACTACCCCATTGTGTAGCTACTGTGTATTTTTAAACACCTGCCATGTTCCACCCCAGAATGGAGCAAGTGCCTGCACTTCAGTGGTGAGCAAAGTGATTGCTCCGTATGCTGTGTGTGCAATCAGTCAGTGAAATCACAATGTACATCCATTAGTGTTACAGTGCACTGCAGTTTTGCAGCTGTTTTTGTGAATAATGTACAGTTCACACTGTGTTGCTTGAATCTCTGTCAGGGCTTCTTGATGTTCCTGCTGTTCCCCTTCTAAGGGACAGGAGATGATTTAGGCTTCTCCTTGCTATGACAGACATCTTTTTAAAAGAAGCTGTTGGGAAAATGCACTTTCTTGTTTTCCTCCTCCTTGTGCTCTAGCTTAATTCCATTTTGGACTCATACAAACAGCAAAAAGAAAAGGAGTACTTGTGGCACCTTAGAGACTAACAAATGTATTTGAGCATAAGCTTTTGTGAGCTGCAGCTCACTTCATCAGATGCATCCGATGATGTGAGCTGTAGCTTGCGAAAGCTTATGCTCTAATACATTTGTTAGTCTTTAAGGTGCCACAAGTACTTGTTTTGTTTTTGCGGATACAGACTAACACGGCTGCTACTCTGAAACCATGCAAACAGCAGAAACTTGCAGTGTGTGATGGATGGATAGCTGAAGTGAAAATGACTAAGGGAAAAAAGAAAAACTTTTCACTTTTCATTTCCCTGGAACTTGTTTTTGAGCCGCCCTGGGAAAAGATTTCCTCAGAGATGCTGGCCTCGCAGATTGGGCAATGTAATAGTAAATTAATTTCTAGGACAAGCCTTTTGTTTCATTACATCAATAGCAGGAAAGTATGTAGTTGCCCTTCTAGTTGGTTTTAATAACTTAAACTCAGTATAAAAACCCATTCTGAAAGGAACAGTAGGAGACCTGCAAGATTCTTTGTAATAATTTATAGTCAATCGGACTGCTTATTTCCAGAGGAAATTACAACTACCATTCATGTAACCTACACCCACTCAGAGTGGTACCCTGTCCCCCTCTAGTGGTGACTGGTTGCATATAGTGGTTGATGAGCTTGCTACAACCTTGGTTAATAGACATAAGTCTATTAGCTCAGGCAAGTAGAGGCACATGCTTTAAGATTCCCAGGTTCAGTGCTCCCTGCTGGTGGTCAATGCAAGGGTGTGGTATTTGGGGGGTATCTCTGTTTAAACGGTCAGTGTTTTCTAATGTAGTATCTGACAGAGTGTAGCAATTCCTGGGGGTTTTGGTCTTTTAATGGTGACCACTGTGTATCCCTTTTAAAACCTGTCCTGCCTCTGCAGGTCCTGCTCTGACCATATCAACCCCTGCTCCCTCCCCCACATAGTACCATGCACTTTTCCTGAGGTGCTTGACTGCCCCACACACCACTGTTTAGAGTAGCTTCCTTGGGCTGTGTGAACTCAGGGTTAAAGACTTGAGAGGATGTTTGGAGGCAGGATTACTACCTGAACCCATCCTGATTGCCAGTGGCTCCAAGGTCATGGTAACACACTGCAGTTGGCAGCAGCTTGGGAGTTAACCTCTTATAGCTGTGGAAAAGATTTCTAGGAACACTCCAGCGACAGTGTGGTGAGGTCTCTCAAGCTCGTTGCACTTTCTGCCCAGAGTAGCACTGCTGGCAAGGCCTCAAGTACCTACACATCATCCCTCTCCCCTCGAAAGGACCCAGTCGTCGTGACCAGGGGGAAATGCCAACCCCAGAATGAACATTCATAGCAACACGGACAGCTTTTTGCTAACTGCGAAGTGCCAGGGAACAACCAGTAGAAATCCTTCTGAAGAACAGCAAACACGACTGAACAGAAGTTTATAGAAATGCTTAAGTGGCTTATCAGAGGTTAAGAATTTAATTTATTAAAGATTAAGCATGAAGGTTTTGCTCTAATTGGACCATTCAATAGCAATTTTAGAATGACTTTCTTCTTCAACAGGATGCTGACTAACCATTTATAAATTAGTGCTGCCCTTGGGAAATATTGTTTTGTTGGGTTTGGGGTTTTTATTTTTTTTTTTATCCCAATGATATTTTTGGCACTGCCAAATGCAGTTTTAGTTGCAGGCTCCTGAAAACCAGAAATGATGGAAGGAAATAAATAATTCAGTTTACAGGGCTAGGATACAACCTTACAATCTTCCCTGAGGGAGCATACTAGTCACAATCCCCTTCCTGGTGCCCCCATCACCACAGCTCGGCTGGTCAGAGTACTGGAGGGAAACAGAGGCAAAGCTCCACCTATTCCTCACCCCTGCCTTTCTGTCTGCAAGAGGGCAGGAACCTGTTGCTGCCCCACTGTGGCTGCTGTTTCCCTCCTACCCCACTGGGCCCTGCACTCAAGGTAACTCATGCAGTTTCGCTTTAAGAGCCTGGTCAAAATAGGTGCAAAACAGAGTGAGCCAAACCTGCCAGTGAGGCTTGCCAAAACTCATCCGAACCCCAGGCTGCTGCTTCCACAGAGCTTTAAGCACAATAAGTAGCTTTATCTAAGAAGGAGGCAAACGTATCTCTCTTTTCTGAAGAGTCCAATGCCCTTTGGAGAGGAAAGCTTAAATAAAAGCAGGCACTTGCGTCTCAGATTCGGTAGCAGCACATGCTGGCCTCCATCACATCCAATTGCTTGATCAAACTGGTCTAATGATTTAGTCACTCCTGAACAGGTAGATGTTTGGGAGGTGGTCTGTGCTACACATGCTGCTGTGGTTAACTCTGTTACTCATTTGTGGTTTATAAAAGAGAGATTTTTTAGCGGGCTTGCTTTCTGTCCTCTAGCTGTCTCATACTGCGTATGGAAACCTGAATTCATGTGCAGTCTCTTTAGTGATCATCACTGTGTCAGGATGCCCTTTTGTGAATTTATGATATACAGATGGGAAACACTTGGCAGTGAGGTCAGTTCAGCAGCTTGCCTTCAAGTTAAGTGCAGCTCTGTTCATTGCAGGACATTTCAGGTGGGGCGGAGGGGGAATGTTATTTACACTACCTGAGGTTTTGACAGTAAAAGAAGAAACAAAAACTTCCCTGATATTTTCAATAACAGGCATTGTTGTGGTAGAAAGGAATTTTGGCTTTGTGTCTGTCGTGTGAGTTTAAAGGAGGATAAAAAGTCCTCCATCTGTTGTGATGCATGGATGGGATGTCTGCTGTCTATTCCACACACGGCTTTTTGACAATTGATGCAGCTTACATTTTTGGGTCATATTCTACCCTCAGTTACAATTGTATGAGTCAATAGGATTGCATGGCTGTAACGTAGGGCAGAACTTGATGTAGTCTTCTGAGCAGGTAGAGGGATGCTCTTTCTACCGTCTTCTAAATTTCCAAGAACAGTGTATTTTAACAAAAGTTGAAAGCAATTCCTTTTAATCTATATATCCCTTATCCAATGAAATAAATACATGTAACCTCTGGCATATTAGGAAATAACAAGTCTAAGTCAAATGGTTCTTCATCCAGGGTCATAAATGCACATGACACTTAAATTTCTGGGACCTCAGTAGAATCCAGCAGATGTACTGGAGTGTTTTGTTACATATGTGGCTATTTTAATCTTGAGTTGAAAAAGTTATTTCTATAAGAAGATAAAATAACTATTGTAGAATTTGAAAGGAATGAACCAATTAGAGTTCTATAGAAATGTAATAGGGTTATAAGAAAAAATATAGAATTTAATAGTGAATTATCTTCTTTCAGGAAGCTTATTGCACCATACTGTAAAATTCTATAGCAGAGGTGTAATACTATATGAAATTCTGTCGGATGGTTGAATATTATATTAAATTCCATGGACCACAGGTTGGAAACCACTGCTTTAAAGCATCCTGAAAACCAGTTTTAAAGACACTATATAAATAGGCTTGGGAGGATTAGATTTTTATTAGTAAATGTCGATAAATGTCAACTTCACCATACACACACAAGCCAACAACAAAATATTTCCATCAACGATAACTGAAATTTACAGATAGGCAAATTAAGAATGTAATACAGTAAATATCCAGTGATTTAGACTTTCCAGTAAAGTTTGT